ATAACATTGTAAATAAACCAAAATTCTACTGTTTACTCGCACAAATAATGTGTAGCTGTATTTCCAGTAATAGTTTTCTTTGTATATGCAAGGGTTACATTCATTTAATTGTCAGCAGTATATAAAACACGGCAACAAACACTCTTGCTGTCTAAGGCTCAGTATTTCGGAATAATTGCTTCATCAGAGATGCCTGCTGAAAAAATAAAATGGTATATAGCAACTCCCCAACTGTATGGGGGATTTCAGTATAAAGTTTTTTTAGTACTTTTAAGAAGCAGAAGAGGTAGATGAGGAGAGCCACCTAACAGTCTAGAAAAGTCTAGATCTCTGTGGCAAAAAGGATGAGAGACCAGACATCAACAGGTCACCTTCTGAGACCTAAATATTTAATAAAAAGACTTTTAAACGTCCTTGTCAATAACTAGTATTGTCTTCAGGATGGTGAAATTCAAGGAATATCCTGAGTTTCACTAAATGTTAGTAAGGCTCTGTGCATCATTAAAGCAAGCAAGCAGCTTTCTTCATTCTTTCTCTCTCTCTCTCTTTTTCTATTAAACATAAAAAATCTGTAGTAAATGAACATTATTTTGGTAGTTAAGTCGAGCGTCAAAAAGAAATGCCAAAACTATGTCTCCTGTGCAACTTTAGTTTGGCCCTGTCTAGTGTATGCATTATGATTCGGTCATTAATTACACAAACGTGTGGGATTTTTAGCACAAAATGTTTACATCCAGGATGGATAGTGCTTAATGAATGATCAGCTGTTCAAGTATTTTGTTTTCTACCATTTGTTCATAGTATATCCCAAAACTTGTTAACTGCATACTGTTCAAACCCTGTTCTGCAGACAGAATTATTAATTTCTCCATGGGCCTTTTTCTCATCACTGTAGTACATGAGTATTTCATAAATATTGATTTAATACATCTTCACAGCCCACCAAGAGTTGAGGGGGTGGTATAATTGACATTTTATGTTTGGGAAACTGAGGCACAGACAGATTAAAGTGGGGGGGAAAAAATCCTCTTTTTGGTACCCAGCCAACCCCGCCAATCTCCTGATTATTTTCTTTTAATCACTTAACATTTTTATGACTGCTTATCTTCAAACACAGCTTTCATTTCCTTCATTTGCTTTATTAAATGCTGAGTACTTTTTTGCAAAGCAGTCCTCAGGATCTCAAGTTGGACAAAAAAAATAAGGAACATGCAATTAGTGGCCATCCCAGAAAAGTTTGGTTTAAGTTGCACACATGAAATCTAAAGCAGAGGCAGAGAAATAATCCAATCCATTCAGTTCCTTTGAGCTTTCCTTTATCTTTTATGCAGTTCCCTACTTCATTCACTACGTATCTTCTACATTCTGCAATAAATGATGCAGAAAGCCTTCTTCACTGCACACCCCTCATTCAGTCCAGAGGAAGTTCATTCTAAATAATGCAGAAGTCTTATGGGAAAAGTCTGATTATTTCATCTAAGAATTCTATTTTGGAGCATCTATATGTATACAAGGCTTATTCTAGCATCTCCTGTTGTCTGGGTGCATTATTTTATTTTATTTTTTTACTATAGATTTTTGTATGTGATTCTCTAGGTTTTTAAAAGAGCAAACAGAAAAAGCAGAAATGGCTTTCTGTGGCACGATGTTGAGACCCATGTGACTGCTTATAACAATTGTCTACAGTGGGTGACTAAGCTAGAAAAACTGAGACACTGTCAGGGACTTCCATAGAAACTTGCTGATAACATAAGAATGGTAAGGCTCAGATGTGTCACAGGCTCTAGAAGAAAGTGTTTCCTCATGGGCAAAGACTTTTCTGCCCCTTCTCCACTAAGCCTTGATTTGACCTCATCTGCCCTGTGTATTCTAACCTTTAAGTTCTGCTTGTCTCCTGCTGGTGAATCCTTGCCCAGGTTTTTATTTTCTTTGCCTAGCCAGTCCTAGCACTTTCTCCTCAAATACCTTGTCCTGGTCTCTTATCCAGCCAGTTCTAGTCTCTCACCTTGTACCCTTGTTGGCCAAACCTTAATGACCTCTCCTGACTCCTAGTTTTTCCCTGTCCTTCCATCCTTTTCAGCAAGCAGGGCTGATCTCTTATGCAGTGGGTTACCAACTACAGCATCAAGGAGTTGTGCAATACCTACATTTTAATTTCCTCCTCAGCCAGGGCTATTAAATGTAATTGGTCCCATTGGCAGGCTCCAGTCTGTGGGGCTTCCTACAGGCTGAGTGACCCACCTCCAGCTCCAGCCTCTAGGGCTTCTTGCCATGGCTGCCAGAGCTGGTGTGTTGGCAGCAGCAGCCTAAAGTCACCGTCACTGCAGCTGCCAGAGCTTCCCTACTGCAACAGCAGCCCCAGTGATGGTGGTTAAGCAGCAGTGGCATTTAACTCGTTTGCTGCTGACACTGAGGCTTCTTCACTGCTGGCAGCCTCCATTAAGAAATCCTGTGGGCTGCATGATCCACTTGTGAGCACCCCTAGCCCAATGTTTGTCAAATCACATTCCTACCTCCCAGCCTTAACTACTGAACCCTAATAGATTTGGCCTGGAGCTGAGGGAAAGAAGGGATCTCCTTATCCCTGCTGTTGAAACTGCCATTGTGCAGAAAATCGAAGGCACCTGAGTTCTTTATTGGATGCATCTTGAAGACCCTAACCTAACATTTTCCTTCAAATTATGCTGTTGTCCATGCTGAATTGAATGAATAAAGAGCACAGAATTCAAGAGCTAAAACAGCAATGTTCTTCTTCCCTTTTTTCAGTTTTCATTGTATGATTTTATTTTTCATGTTCATATTCCATTTTAATGATAGGCTTCTTTGGTTTTATTTACCTCTTTCTCCTCGGTTACATCAAGGAAAACCATTAGTTTTTTTCAGCTTGTTTGTTAAGCAGTACAATAAGAAATAGTTAGAGGAGAGTGCTAAATATATCTGGCTTTTTCTTAGAAGCTGATGTAATTTAGAAAAATGAGACCCAAGGCCTGGAAGGTTTTTGTATCAGCCAAAAATAAATCTAAGCGGAGCTGGCATACATACCTGGAACTGTGATGTATAACTGAGGACATTTTGGAGATGTTATTTACTGATCATTTCAAAACAGATTTTACTTGAAAGCAGTTATTAATGCAGATTGTTCTATATGAGCTTCAAAATGCTTTATTAAAGTATGCTGTAGTTACGGATTTGAGAAACTGCCAGATGGGATTTGCAAAAGCAAATGGGTGTCTTAATTCTCTTGGGTGCTTTTGTAGATCTCATTTGGTACCTATCCATACCTATAGGTACCTAAGTCCTTTTATATAAATCTTGCCCTTAATTTCTAATGAGCTCTACCATATTGTAGGGTATCTTCCTAATTAGGTAGATCTTGGATAAATTATTTCTACTTTATTCAGTAAGTGATACAAGGTGCAGTAGAGTTTAAGTAACTTTCTTTTAGTTGTCTCTTAGAAAGTGAGCATTAAAAGATCTGGAGTTCACAAGATGCAAGATATAAGCCAGGGTACAGTCTGAAAACATAATTCCACTTTGGCCAAAGGGATAATAATGTAGTTTCCCAAAAATTGTAAAAGTAGGTTCTTGCTATTAAACTGCTTTACCCATTTTCACCTTGTAGAAAATGGAAAGAGAAGGTTGTGGAGAGTGGCTAACAGTACATTAATGATGTAGCCTTTAGGTTACTGTTCTTTTGGTTTTCAGGCTTTCACGCAGTAAGGATAGCAGAAAAACTACTAGAGCTGTTTCCTAGCACATGCCTAGATAAAACAATATTGCTTTCAGGCATAACCCTGCATAGTCAATGAAGTACTTCTACTCCTGAGAGTTGGTACAAAATCATGCTGTTCAAAGAGCAGGTAACTTCAGCAACATAAGACAGTGAAAGAAGATATCATCCAAAGCTTAATAAGATGTCAGAATTTCAAGACCAGTAATAAAAAGCAGTGCATGTGTACATTTATGGAAGCCTGCGCACAATGTACATTTATGGAAGCCTGCGCACAATAGTTATTAACATTGTGGTAGAATTAACTGTATTGTACAGTTTTAACAAAAGTGTCAAAATTCTCAAGCATGTAATGCTGTATCTGAAAGAAATTGTTCAATACCTGAAAGAAATAGTTTGGAAAGGCTTTTTTCTTTTCCTTTTTCCTTTTTGGAGTTGTGTGTGTAAAGTAATTGTAAATGAACATACAGTAGCAACCCATGCTTGTACCCATGGTTGCTTAGCCCTGTGGTAAAGCCTGGCAGTGTCTGCATTGCAATTCTGTCTTGTGTATGTAAAATTGATATTACTAAATACACTGACTCTGTGATGGCTCATGCACTCAGAATTAACTGTTGCTCACAATATGAGCACTATACAGATGCAGATTTCAGACTTGAGCTGTTTTTCCTGAAGCCACGTCTTTCGAGCCCAAAGATCAGAAAATTATCCTCCATTCCTGCAAATACTTATGTACATGAGTAGTACTTAAGTCAATTGCCGATTTCATGTATGTTTGCCAGATTGGGGTTTTATTTATCTGGTTTGTTTGTTTGTTTGTTTGTTTGTTATTTCAGAAGGTTGTGGCATCTGGATTCTGAGCGATGTTAACAAAACCAAATACTCATTGCATGCGACATTTCAAAAAAATGTTTCTAAGGCAGTAGTTACTTCCATGAACATTTTGGGTGCTGCATTACTCAATATTATTGGAGCTAATGTTACTGAACTATTTATACAGTTGACCTAGCTTGAAATATTTTTTTTTCTAGATAGTACAAATAATTATATCTAATCAACTGTTCAACACTATACTTGTTCTGTTTTAATGTTATATAATAGGCTTCAGGTAAACCGTTATTTGATGATCCTATGAATTTGAATAAGGTTTTTCTCATAAGTGTTCTTCATACGAGGCTAAAATAAAATTACAGTTTGAATATTCACAATAGTAGTTTCCACCTTTTTCTCCGTCTTTAAAATAAATTTGTTATATTTTTGTTTTCTTTAGTTCAAAGTTCCTGCAGCTACAAGTGCCATTATAACAAATGGTAAGAGTATAGTTAAACTGCATTCCAGAAGGGTCTCAGCACCATTTTTTTCTGTAATATGTACAGCTTCAGAAGGTGATGAATTGTCTGATCCTCAAAGTTCCTTCTGGGATTTTGATTCCACGAGACTGTAGACTTCCAACATGGGGTTTATCACCAATATTTTATTACTATTTGAATGGTTGTATACTACAGTACATCTTGCATTTCATTGTGCTGAAGCTTTTAATCATCAGGTGCTGCAGTAAATAAAACTGGTCATAGGTTTTGACAATGGCAACTCAGTGCTTAAAGCACTGGGATTTAATAACCAGTGCAATGTATTTTTAGAACCTTAAATATCTTGCCCTCATTTTGCTGCTGCATGTTCACACTAGTAGATAGTGTATTTTTGTTATTTTATCAAAAATAAAAAAGGTTGTGTTTTAACTTTTTTTGTAGATGGAATAGGAATCAACCCTGCACAGACAGCAGGTGAGTAGTTATTTGTGATGTCTAACTGAAGAAATTATTTTCATTCTATGCCCAACTGATGTAGAGCACTGGTATTGATTTATGTTTTCATGGAGGTAATCTGAATTTTATTACCTTTTCAAAAGAGAATGCAGAAATACTAAACAATGCTTGAAAGCTGTCTAAAGCCTTCAGAGCATTATGCAAAGACATAAATTTATTTGCGAACACATAATTATTATTCATAATTTGTTGATTTAGATCTGTCTGAATATTCTGGGTCTTGTTATTTTAATGCAATAAAAATATGGCTCCAGGTTATATTTATAATTAAATAAATAAGCAACACAAACTATGGTTCCAAATTGTCCATTTCATATCATCCAACAATATTACTGCTTGGACAGCCCTTCTAAGAAAGTGTTTTGCATTGGCATATCTCCTTATAGTGGTATTTTTCTTCTCTTAATAAAAAAAGACTGATATAAAGATGAATTTGTCAGAGGTACAGTCTTAGTATTAAATATTTTTCATTTGCTTTCACTGACCTGATTTGCAATAAAATCCTAGTTTTATGGAAAACTTGAAGGAAACTGGATACTTTTTATTACCAAAATGAGATTGAAGCACAAAAAAAATTTCACTTGAAACATGTTCTTCCAAGTAATGAAAAAAGAAGAAAACCATGAAAAATCCTTACACAAGCGAATGTTTATTTTGGAATATGTAGATAAAATGACAAAGCAGTGCTTTGCAAGTAAACTTTTTTCCTCCTCTCTCTGTTACTTTAAAGATCTTAATCTGTTTGGTAGCCTGTTAGACTATGGTTGTGGACAGATTAAACAATTATACCACTCTAAAAAGGAGAGAGGATAAGCTTTAAATGCATGTCATCTGATCATTGTCTCCTCGTGTCCCTTAGTAAGTAAAGCTGAAGTGGGGGAGCTTGTATTGGAGTGAACCAGGTGCTAAATTTTTGTAGTTTAGCTTCTATTTATTGGAGGGTGCAGCAGACAACTGAAATGCAACAGATCAGCTTGAAAAGCCATTAAGTTTTCCTCTTTTCAGTTAATTCAGATGTTTCAATTGTCTGTACGTTATTCAATCTACACTGTTAAAACTTAGTCTGTTTTGCAAAATAGAAAATAAATAAATGGGACATAGCAGGCAGTGCATGCAAAATTCTGGGAAGACCTACATTTATTTTATATTTACAGCATCTCTGCTTTGATTTGTTTCTTTTTTACCTTAATTTTTGTTAGCTTTAAAATTATACTGAAATAATTTAAATCATATTGTTACTTGATGAGTTTTTAATGTATAACCTTGTACCTGGCATTTTTCTTAAATTGTGAAGTGCTTATTAGACGGTGCAAATGTAGGAGGAAAAAGAAAATTTTTATGAAGCATCAATCAATTACTGATGAATAAGAAGGATTATTTCTAAAGAATTTAAAATTGATACATTATTATAATACTGTCCTTCTTTAAAAGAGACATAGGCTTTAGGTATTGCTTGAAGAGCTCTTACGACATGTACATTACATAACCCTCAGATGACCCGCTTTCTCTCTCTCTCTTGTTCAGGAAATGTTTTCCTAAAGCATGGTTCAGAACTACGGCTTATTCCCAGAGATCGTGTTGGAAGCTGTTAGCATTTCCTGATAGCATCATGCCAATGAGTTAATTGTCATATTTATTTTGGAAGTCTACAGTACAACTAAAGAATTTGCCTTTTTAAAGTTATGTAAAATTACTTCCTGGGTTTAAATATATTAATTAAAATATAGTTTACATTACCTTTCCCTGACCCTTCCTCTAGTTATAGAAGAATGGTTTGATTTAATGCTATATTTTTGGGAAGAATTAACATGTCTCTTAGGACATGTTATTGAGAGCAAAATGACAGACCTTGACAATGGAAACATCCAATAGCAATCAATAGGTAAATAACAGAACCCCTTATTGTGGGGGTTAGTTTTGCAGAAGGAGAAGCTGTGCAGGGTTTTCAGGAAGGGAAACATGTAGGAGAAAAAAATTCCCTGCTGAAAAACCTAAAAGTATCATTTTACACTATGAATTATGCATTCTGTATATTTGCAGAATCTAAGGCATTTTGCTCCACTGTTAAATATTTCAGTTCAAATAGAATGGAAACTTCAAATTGCCCTATTACTGAAATATGTAGACAACATCTAAATGCTGTAAATACTTGGTAAAATTTAAGATACTGAAAAATATTTAGTTAAAGAAAACATTTACTTTTTTTATTAAATCTTTAGTTGAGATTTACAGGTCAAACAAATCTTAATTTTTTTTACTGAAACTGAATTTAATATTACTTAATAAAGTGCTATCAGCCCAAACATGTTGCTAACTCACAGATATTGGGGATCCCATGAACTATGCTGATATGTCACATTCCTTTATTAGCAAGCTAACATTGATTCTGTGTAAAAGTCTTTAGTTTCTTTCTTATGTTATGGGGGAAAGTATTGGAATCACTTGTGTGCATGTATTAAGTATTTTTTATAAATTATCACAAGGTAAATTGTTATTAACTGTGGACCCTTATTAGAGAAACTAGTGCAACTTGTTTTTAACGAGTAAAAATATTCTGTAAGGTAGTATGCATTTTGTCAGATAAATTGCATTTTATCTACCCATAAAACTGACGTTACAGAAAGTTGGACAATAAACTGTAATGCTTGGTAAAACAAGTATTTGTCATGAATGTCTTTAGCCCATGAGCCAAAAGAGACCTAGAAAGGATTCAAAAGGTTGGTATTATAGGGTCTTCTGAGTCTCCCTTCTGAGTGAGTATCTGCATGTGGAGGCTCCCATATATGTGCATATCTGAAAGGGGTGATTTGGGCCTGTGAATTTTTCAGCTCTATCTTAAAGCAATAGTTTTATTTTGGTTTCTCTTATCAGAAAAAAAACAAAACAAAACCCCAATATTTGGGGAACAGAGCAAAAAGGAGGGAGGGGGGAGAGGTTGAGGCATCTTATGTTCCTTTACTTACTTGCCTAATTAGATTGTGACAGTAAATTAGAAATTGTGCCCTTTGACCTTTTTAATCAACATACTGTGAAATTTATTTTAAACCAAGAATGAACAATGAATTGTAAAGCATGATGATTTAAGGGCAAAGTGCATCGTTTCTATTAATCCATTGCCACAGTATAATTAGAATGAACAGAATTAATTGCTTCTAATTATTGTCTGCAAGACTGTTTAGCTGGGTAGCTGCTGGGGGACTATCCGGGCCACAGAATATAACGTGGTTGAAATTTTATTTTTCTGTACAAAGGTACAATACTTCTTTGCAAAGCAAAGTAAATTCCAGTGTACTTTGGAAGTCTCTGTGATATTTTGATGTTTAATATGAAAGCCAGATAGCTAAAAGTAATTTCAATTATAAATGCACTCAAGACATTCACTGGTATACAGTAAAATAGAGGATTGACATTTCAAGTTGTAAGTAAAAAAAATTAATGTGGAAAGGATCCCACCAATGTAAAAAAATAAAGGATCTACTTTGTGGATATTATGTACTGTCTCAACATGTTGTCTGTTGTATGGACATAACACTCTAGGGTTAAAACAACTACTATGCATCGGTTGTAAAAGGTTTGTACTTACAGACTGATTGCAAGTGGCTTTCCATTTTATCTTGAACACTTTGTGTGATGCTCGCTGTAGGGAGAAATCACAAACACACACAAGGCCAAACTTTTAAGGGATCAACCTCTACAAACTGGGTGAGTTTTCAAAAGACCCTGTTACTTGGCAGATCCTACTGCAGCATCTGTGAACTGATTTTTTTTTTAAAGAGTACTTTTGAAAATTGGCTCTACTTAGGGTGCTGACCTCTTCCAAAAACTAGATTTTAGGGTAAAGCCAAAGGAGTAGGCTAAAATGACCACCATTGGTTTAACTAGCCTTTAAAGCATTTAGCAGACAGACACACGATGTGAACTCTTGGACCCATATTTCTTTGCAGAGAACTAACATTTTTTGCCATAGAAAATTATTCCTAACATTCTTATTTTTAAATACTAAAGAAATTTATATGGGAAACATGGGGCACATTTTAGCACCTGCTGTTAGCTTTATTGTCAGCAGACCTAAAGCTACTAATGTTTACAGTCCTCATTGTCTCTACCTCTTCACCACTATGTTCTCGCTTCATAGGGCCCAACTACAACTAAAAACCTGTTCAGTCTTCTGAGAGAAAAAGACCTTTCAGCCTCATGCTCCTTTTTGCTAGAAAATCACAAAACATCTGGGACTACAGCTCTGTATTCAGAGGTTAGACACGTTTTCAACACCAACTTCCCTCTGTCAGGCCAAGAGATAAAAGATAAGTCAGGATGACAGGAGCAACTTGTGCTGGTGAGAATAATGAATGACAGTGACTGAAGGTTTTGGATACAGATCAGTCCTTTATGTGGCAATGTGCAGATAGCAGTCAAAGTGAACCAACATAGTGGGACAAGATGAAACTCAGTCCTTCAATTTGTGTCTGTTAAGATCCCATTTAAACAATATTGACATTAGCTACATGCTAATAGGTAAAATTCGTCCTATTCACTGGGACTGCCTAAGACCTACATCATATTTTTGTGGGCTTAAATAAACATCTGTGTAAGGACACCAGCAACAGAATAAGGACTGTATACTGCATTGATGAGTTTATCCACTGGTACCATTAAGAGGCAGGTTCAATCATTGCTTTTAAAAATATACCCTAGCATTGCCCTACCTACCCACTAGTGTTTGAACATATATTCATATAGCACAGGATACAAAGCTCCCAGAGCTCAGTTTGAAGCTTAAAAGTACTAGATAAGCAGAGATGAGCTTGGTGGTAGGAACAGGGTTCTGACCCTGAAATCACTGCCCCTCCAATCCCAGACAGGTTGACAAGCAGTTTTTCCACTGTGCCTGGAACTGTCTGTGCCCATGGACAGAATGGAAAGATTTTTCCCTATGGGATTCTGTGTCAAAGACTGAATATTAACTGAAGGATGTGGTGTCTGCGTTTTCTGTGGAAGGCTCAGAGAGGGTTGGAGGTTAATACAATTGTAAGATATAACAAAAACTATTTGTGAGGAAAATGCTTTGTTTTGGACCATTAAGTCACTTTATAGTTATAGGCTCATTTTCTATGTCAGTTCATTGCAAGTTGTAGGGTTTTAATAGATATATGCTATCAAATCATTATGACTTACCTGTCTTATAATTTACAACTGGAGAGCTGTAACGTTATTCAGGAGTTGGTATGAGAGATGCACCATGGAGAGTATATCATCTGTGTTTGGTGTACATCAATTATTATGATCCCTCACTTGTAATATCCTTGTATTATATTTTACTTCTCATGTTTTAATATCAGAACATATTACAAGTTTGGTTTTTGTTTTGTTTTGTTTGCCTTCTTGCATGTATCTGGCATTTGTAGGCACAGAGTTAGCTTTGTGAGCAATGGCTGTCTCTCAAACTATTTTTTGTAACTTTGTTAGTATATTTTCACCAACTTGAAATAACTTGCATGAGAGGGCAATGTTTCTGTTAAACTAAACCATTTTGTAAACTAGAACATCTTACAAAGCTTTAATGCTGTATGGGCTTTGGATTACTGAGTACTGTCAGTCACTAACACCAGACAACTAACATTTTGTTAAAAGCACCTGATCCAGAGAGTGTTAAATATGGTTTTAATGTATATCTGTGCAGGGCTATAAGAACGACCAAAAATACTTTCTTCTCTGTGGGCTTCTCCAGATCTTGGATACTCATTCATTGGGTAAGTGGGCTTATGTAACCACTTATTTCCTCCCTGCAGGAAGAGGCTGGGCAATGGATGAAATTTGAATTTTGCTTCCTTTTGCTTCTAACTACTCACCATACAGTACATACAAATGTTACACTTAGAATAACCTAACTAGGGTGTGGATACATTCAGGGAGGTTAGGTTGGGCAATAAATGGCACCTGAGGAGGTGCACTAAAATCAGGTTAGCCCAAAATACTGAACATGTTTTGAAGTGCAGCCCAGGGCTAGAGAAGCCCAGCCACTTACCTGTCCTGGGGCTGTACTCCTTCCCCCACCCTCCTGATCCCTCCCACCTGTGGATTGACAACTCCCACACAGGGCCGCCAATCCCTGTCATGGATGCACTGACTCCCTGTCCCCACCCCCC